CGATTTTCAAGAAACTATGCACAATTCATTCTATACTTAATTCAGTACGCTATACAAAAATCGAAAGATAAAGGGGGCTTCGGTGCGGCATTTACATAAAATGGAACGAAATTATATATAGCATTTCCAGATTAAATGAAACCTTTTACAAATTAAATGAAACCTTTTCCAAATTAAATGAAACCTTTTCCAAATTAAATGAAACCTTTTCCAAATTAAATGAAACCTTTTCCAAATTAAATGAAACCTTTTCCAATTGAAATGAAACCTTTTACAAATAGAATGAACCCTTTTCCAATTGAAATGAAACCTTTTACAAATAGAATGAAACTTTTTCCAAATTAAATGAAACCTTTATTCTTATCTAAGGAAATATAATATTTGCAATAATTTTAAACCAATATTTGAAAATTAAATCAAAGAATATTAACAAATATAGTTGTATGGCTATGTAATTAACATAAATATTCTTTAATTCGGTGTGATTTCACTTTCAAAACCATGTCCATAACGTAGTTAGAACAATCTTGCCGAGTAAGCTTTTGAATACTTCGCTCGATTACATCAACAATGTTATGTTCCATTGAAACGTCACACAGATCAGCTCTTGGACATAATTTTATTTTTGAAAATGCATTTTCGATTGGATTTAGCATTGGAGAATAAGGCGGTAAGAATTTAAGGTTGCATCTTTTGGATTCGATCAAATTTTTTATGTCATGTCGCTTGTGTATTTGAGCGTTATTTTCCAACTCTGGATTGATTTTCTCAAAAAAAATGTCTATAAATAATTTAAATCTGTCTGCATTGACACTGGAATTAGAAACGATTGTGTGATGTACAACTCCCGCGTTGTTTATTGCTGCAATTATAGTGACATTACGACCTCTGACCGTAGGCAACACAATGTGTGCTCTTGTTCCTTGTCTTGAACGGGCTTGGGTTCTTCGTATGTGAAGATTAAATCCACACTCATCAATGAATAATAATTTTTCTCCTTGTTGGGGTATCCATTTTGTAAAGTCTTGAGCATATTTTTGTCTCAAGCCTAATGTTCTGGAGTCATTCTTTCGTTCTATTTCAATAGAGGCCATCTTAAACGTAATTTTTAATTTCCGTAATCCATATTCTATGCAGCTTGTGGAAATATTTATATCATTTTCTCTCAACAGTTTAGTTTTTATGGCTTTGAGGGTAATTCCAGGTTGACTTTCTATATAGAACTCGATCAGACTTAAAACTTGTGGTGTCAACAACTTAATTCTATTTCCTCCACGCTTATTTCCCTTCAATGTTCCAAAATTTTGTTTGTAATTACTTCACATTGTCGAGAGTTTACTGTTTTGGATGTTCACATTATCGAGAGTTCACTGTATTTAAAAATAGCAACGTTTAAAATAAATGCGAACCTGATTTTAGCTCGGGAAGCTCTGATAATTGGGAACCTGAGGAAGAATCAATATCCTCGCCAAGTATTGCAAGTGGAAATGCTCCAGAACCTACCGAAGCTACATCTACAAGACCCCGAAACAAATTGGGTCAGTATAACAAAATAACAAAAGACATGAAATTGTTATTATTTAAATTCTATGAAGAGGGGAGAACCATTTCCGAGGCTGCAAATTTAACCTGCATAAACATAAATTCCGAAAAAACATTTATAAGAAGATACAAACAAAATTTTGGAACATTGAAGGAAAATAAGCGTGGAGGAAATAGAACTATGTTGTTGACACCACAAGTTTTAAGTCTGATCGAGTTCTATATGGAAAGTCAACCTGGAATTACCCTCAAAGCCATAAAAACTAAACTGTTGAGGGAAAATGAAATAAATATTTCCACAAGCTGCATAGAATATGGATTACGGAAATTAAAAATTACGTTTAAGATGGCCTCTATTGAAATAGAACGAAAGAATGACTTCAGAACATTAGGCTTGAGACAAAAATATGCTCAAGACTTTACAAAATGGATACCCCAACAAGGAGAAAAATTAATATTCATTGATGAGTGTGGATTTAATCTTCACATACGAAGAACCCAAGGCCGTTCAAGACAAGGAACAATAACACACATTATGTTGCCTACAGTCAGAGGTCGTAATGTCACTATAATTGCAGCAATAAACAACGCGGGAGTTGTACATCACACAATCGTTTCTAATTCCAGTGTCAATGCAGACAGATTTAAATTATTTATAGAAATTTTTTTTTTGAGAAAATCAATCCAGAGTTGGAAAATAACGCTCAAATACACAAGCGACATGACATAAAAAATTTGATCGAATCCAAAAGATGCAACCTTAAATTCTTACCGCCTTATTCTCCAATGCTAAATCCAATCGAAAATGCATTTTCAAAAATAAAATTATGTCCAAGAGCTGATCTGTGTGACGTTTCAATGGAACATAACATTGTTGATGTAATCGAGCGAAGTATTCAAAAGCTTACTCGGCAAGATTGTTCTAACTACGTTATGGACATGGTTTTGAAAATCCCACAAGCTGCAAGTCGGGAACCCCTTCATTAAGATAAGCAGTTACCTTATCATCAACAATTTATTAAGTCAAATATGTATTTCGCATTTAGGACCGGGTATTCAATTCCTGTTCTTAAATATTTATTTATTAAAATGTCAAGAAATACCCCAGTTTGTATTACTATTTATTTAGTTTTATGTAGTAAAGATATTAAATGAAATCACACCGAATTAAAGAATATTTATGTTAATTACATAGCCATACAATTATATTTGTTAATATTCTTTGATTTAATTTTCAAATATTGGTTTAAAATTACTGCAAATATTATATTTCCTTAGATAAGAATAAAGGTTTCATTTAATTTGGAAAAAGTTTCATTCTATTTGTAAAAGGTTTCATTTCAATTGGAAAAGGTTTCATTCTATTTGTAAAAGGTTTCATTTCAATTGGAAAAGGTTTCATTTAATTTGGAAAAGGTTTCATTTAATTTGTAAAAGGTTTCATTTAATCTGGAAATGCTATATTTAGTTTTATGTAGTAAAGATATTAAATGAAATCACACCGAATTAAAGAATATTTATGTTAATTACATAGCCATACAACTATATTTGTTAATATTCTTTGATTTAATTTTCAAATATTGGTTTAAAATTAGTGCAAATATTATATTTCCTTAGATAAGAATAAAGGTTTCATTTAATTTGGAAAAAGTTTCATTCTATTTGTAAAAGGTTTCATTTCAATTGGAAAAGGTTTCATTTAATTTGGAAAAGGTTTCATTTAATTTGGAAAAGGTTTCATTTAATTTGGAAAAGAGTTCATTTAATTTGTAAAAGGTTTCATTTAATCTGGAAATGCTATATTATATGGGAGCTATATCTCAATCTGAACCGATTTTCACGAAACTTAGCACACGTCATTCTAGACTTAATTTAGTAGGCTATGCCAAAATTCGTGCAAATCTTATGGTTTTCAGGGACTTTGGGGCACCATTTACCTAAAATCGGGCGATACTATATATGGGAGCTATATCTAAATCTGAACCGATTTTCACGAAATTTAGCACACATCATTGCGTACTGAATTACGTCTATTCAGTACGCTATGCCAAAATTCGTGAAAATCGAATGATTTTAAGGGACTTTGGTGCACCATTTACCTAAAATCGAATGAAAATATATATAGGAGCTATATCTAAATCTGAACCGATTTTCTCCAATTTCAATAGGGTTCGTCCTTGGGCCAAACAAATGGGCTGTGCCAAATTTCATCTAATTCGGATCATAAATGTGACCTGTACTTTGCTCACAAAAATACATGGACGGACGGACGGACGGATATTGATAAATCGACTTAGAACGTGATTCTATGCATATTCTCAAAAGGAACCATGTGTCTATGTCGTTTCCTTTTGCCTGTTACAAACATATGCACAAAGACATAATACACTGTACCACAGTGTGGTGAAGGGTATAATTAGTGATGCTCGGCGTACAACTGTGGCGTCTTTAGCGACTAGAAATAAAATTTTCGGCGTCTCAAATTTCCGCTACATTTCCGTCCGTTATATACGAATGTATAGACGCCTGTAAAGGTTAAATATAATAACACTTGCATCCGGTTAAAGGTCAACCACTCCTCCTTTATCTTTTAGGCTTAACATGTTAAAATTGTGAACCGATTATATTATTAGTTCTTGAGTTATCGTGTCACTTTTTGGAGAAAAAAGCGTTGAAAGTTTGAGCAGCACTCTTGACGTCGCTTGATGTTAAAAAAGTTATATCTTTATAATAATAATTTTATGGGGACATTCTTGAATTATGGTGTGTGTTCGAAATAGTAAAAAAACTTAATTTATTAAGGGGTCCCCTTAAATAGATACACCATAGTATGCATTTTTTCCATTTTTCATAAAGTCGTGCTATTTTTGGCCAGATTCCCTTCCTCGTGTAAAATTTCGTGATGTTCTGGTCACAATTGTGGCCTCTAGAGCGACCAAAAAATGATTAAAAAATGTTTTTGGTCATTTCTTCCCACAAACACTAAACGATGATTATCAAAAACAATAGAAGTCTTCTTTGGTCCAAACTGAACTTACATGCAAAATTTCGCGACGTTTGATCCATAAATGTGGCATGTATCGTGTTTAAAAAATATATTAGACATACGGATGGACACACATGTCTAGATCGCTTCAGTTAGTCAGATATGACTAATCCGGTATTCCATAAACAATATATTGCGGTGTTGTAAACTCTTGGGGCCACACAAAACTATAAAACCCTTATAATATAGTTGGTTAGGAAATCAAAATGCAAGAAAAATACCACATACATCCACATTCAATGACAACATTAAATATTAAATTAAAGTATAAAATTAAACATGTTAAATTTTGTTTCGATCTGGCAACTCCTTCATATAGAAGCAGGTTCTCAAAAATGACGCATCCGCAATTTTTTTGTACAATGGACAAATTAGAAATGCCTGGTGTCATTAAATACTTATATAAAAAAAGGTTTATCGGGACAAGAAATTCGTAATAATATGATGAATGTGTTAGGTGAAAGTGCTCCTTCATATGCAACAGTAAAAAATTGGGCTGCTGAATTTAAATGTGGTCGTAGAAGCATTGAGGATGAACCACGTAGTAGACGTCCAAAAGCAGCAACAACAATAGAAATTGTAGCCAAAGTGCATGATACGAGTATGGTATTAAATGATCGACGAATAATAGTGCGTGAAATAATAATCGTATCATGGGCATCTCAAATGATCGATTCCATTTAATTTTGCATGAAGAACTACATATGAACAAGCTTTCTGCATTATGGGTGCCGAATATGTGAATAGTCGATCAAAAATGCATAAGAATGAACATCTCTCAAGCTTGTTTGGATATTGATTTAAGCGATATAAATGAGAGACAAAAGAACAATCCAAACAATGGTCTAAAGCTGGAGGAAGTGCCCAATAGAAGACAAAAACAATTGAATCGGCTGGTAAGGTTATGGCAACGGTTTCTTTGGTATTTTATTGATTGACTATCTGCAAAAGGGTGAAACAATAAATTCAGAGTACTATTGCAACCTTTTGAATCAATTAAATGTACAAATTGGAGCAAAACGTCCTGGCTTACAACACACACAAAAATATTTTTTCATCAAGACAACGCACCAGTATCTCACTCAAAAGAGCATGATATTAAATCCAATTAGTAACATTCAGATCCAGGTAGAAGTTGTTGATTAAGTTGATACTTAAACATTAACCGATCATCGCTTTAAGGGCCTCTTTGGTCCGAGCCAAACTTCATTTCACATTTCGTTACGATCGGTTCATGTACGCCCTGTACATTTAATGGACAGACGGACACACAAAGTTATAACAATTTATCTTGTCGAGATATGCTCCATATACATCATTCTACTATTTTATAAAAAAACATGTTATTTTAGAAATTTGTAAGGTGTAAATTTATTTTCGAAGTCTGTCGATATTTAAAAATAAACATTTTCCCACCGCTTCTAAATGTTCGTCGTGTAAATACATTTATTTTTACTTAAACATTTGTAATATATATATATATATATTTAATAATTATTTTATTTTTTTAAAATAAACATGAAATAACATTGTTTTATATAAAAAAATATACACTGAATAAAGGGTAGGTTATACGACCAGATGGCTTATATTCATCAGTTACAGATCCTTTTTTAATAACACATGTAAAAAAATAAACAATAACTCAATTTATTTGTTCGGAACTGCACGTGCTTGTAAAATAAATAAAACAATAAATATTGAATTATTCTTTAAATTGCAAGCCAATGAAGTTAAAAAAAAAAACTATATAATACCTAATAATTATATACGAATACCCTTTAAAGTATACAAAAATGGACGAGAACGAGTATATAAGCTATAACCAAACAATTACATAAATTTTTTATCATCTGAAAACGAATTAAAAAAACAGTTAGGACCACCTACGTACTTAAATTATGGAGGGCATACAACACACACAGTTACAGTTCTTACGGATTCGTTCAACATCTGTGAAAAAATAAAAATAAAAACTAATATAACGATCTTCTAAGTTCTTTACAACAAGGACAATCCCAGTACAATATTTGTAATTCCGACGATTCCTTGGTGAAGAGCAGTGGGACAGAATTAGTACTGTCATTTAACATCGTAATTTGTTCTTTAGATCAAGTTCGTAGGTGGAGGTTACCAGTCCAGTAGACCTCCTGGAACCTCCACGAGAATTCGAATGTTTTCAATTTATCACGAATGATAAAGTTACAATGATTGAACACGCATTTGCTATCTCTCGCGAAAAATTCACGAACGATAAAATTTCGCTGCAAGCGTCGTCGATTCGTTCGTTAGCGAGCATTTGTTGCTGAATAACATTCTTTTGAAAAAACTCAAAAAACAAATGTTCGAGAATGCTCGCGAGCACTGTTAAAAACAACAACAACAAAAATATCACAAAAAAGTAAACACACAACGAATGAATGTGTGTGTAGCAGAAAGTGTGTGGAATAACAAAACACATGCCCAACAACTATTGACTTCACGAACGTTTGTTGTTATTGTTGTTGCCGTTTTGAGCATTCGCGAGAATTCGGGAATGTTTGTTTTCATTCGTGAGAGAATGTCAGAAAGAATTTCAACCACCAAACGAAACGAACGGTCGTTGTTTTGTGCTCTCACTCGTTTGTCATGTGTGTGCGAACATTCTTTGGCGAATGCTCGTTTGGTAAAGACTTTATCGCCATAAATTCATTCGTAAAATGAGCACAAAACGAAAAGAATGTATTTTTAATCATTCGCTGGCGAATTTTCGCGCACCCTGCTTTTTAGACTTTTACAACTTTTTTACAGTCGAAACACGAACATCATGAACATTTTTCCTAGGAAGGGGATCTGACTAAGAAATAAGCTTTGAAAATGATTAATCAAAATGTACATATGTTTACTCCAGGCGTGGTCCGGAAAATTCGCCAGTGTATAAACGAGTCAGGTTGACCATTAATCTGATATCAATTCTATTGGTATAATATGACGAATATAGGAGATTTACTTAATATTGCAATGAAGTCTAATACATAAATATATACTCAAGCGTAGTTCAGTATAACCATTAACACAAGGTAAAGAAAATTTTGTCATGTTCGGAGTATAAGCTCCGCTATTCGGTTTATCGAACAGTTGTTTCAAAAATATATGTATGCATGAGAAGGGTCAAATTAAGAAAAAATTATAGTTGTCGAAAATATAACACCTATTTCAGCTAATAAAATATCCTCCTTTAAATCCTTCAGATGTTTACCCCTACCATCGAGGGGCAAAATGACAAAATGGGGTAAATATCTGAAGTCCATATTTTCGTATAATTTTCATAATTTACTTATTAAAAAAATTGCAATGAAGAATTATTGCCAACCGTTTAAAAATTGCCATTAAAAAATTTAAATTAAAATCTCAGAGCGAAATGAGTTAAGCTCACTGGTAGTTGTGTAGGGTACAATATAGTCGACCCCATCCGATTATACTGCTCCGCTTACTGGTCATTCATTCGTTGGCATATATTTTTCTCCTTAGAAACAAAGTCTGCAGCAGATGCGGACATCAAGCACGTGATTTAAATCTGCAGGTAATTAATGCACAGAACTAGTTATCTAGGGTATCAAATGACCGAACCGTTTGACTAAACTTCTACATTAACCGGTTTCTTATGATTTAGCTAAGCAAATACGGTCAGGGTCAGAAAAATGCAATCGGAAGATTTTTTATGTCTAATTGATTGAAATTCACAACAAATTCGACTAAATAATTATCCAGAAACGAGATGTCGCTGAGATGTGCCAATGAAATGCCTTTTTATAAGCAAACCACACAATGGATACATGGTATTAAGTTTTTATATTTGTTAATAAATCACAACTAATTTAGTGATTAATAAAATGAAATATTAGCGTCTCCATTGAGTATTGTCTAGGTTAGTTCTATATCTATTCATTTAACATCTCGTGTTAACACAAATATGCTAATATTTATTTTCAAATATACAATAACAAAAAAATATTAATATTCATAATTATGACATCACAATGAATGTCGACTCCGACTAGCTACCAGTTCTTTGGCTTATGAATAAAACACCCATTCTAAGACAAAAAATTTTTTTTTATTTTTTTTTCAGCTCTCACACTTGCTACCGACTGGACCTACGACAATGCACCCAATTGGTCGATAGATCATCCAAATTGTGGCGGTAATCGTCAATCGCCAATACACATCAAGACATCAACGGTAAGTGAATTGAGTTGTCAAAAAAAAAAAAAAAAAAAAAATTGGACAAGTTCAAATATTTGAATTTAATTTTTGAGTACATTACTCTGTTGTTGTTAAATTTTAAATTTTATTTGTTTACGATATTTAATTTAATTTGTCGTCTGTTTAAGCTTTTGTTTTGTTTTCATCTTTCCCTCTCAATCTAACTGAACAAGGTTAGTAGGTTGATCGAAGCAGAAAAAGAAGAAGTTTTTTTGTTTATTTTTGTTAGGCATAACCAAAATAATCTCGGCTATTTTAGCGGGCGAATTCGATAAGGTCAAGTGTTGAGCAAAGCAAACAAAAAAACAATTAATTAAAATTTGTCAAGCTTAAATTTGCACTTCTACATGTTAGAGGTATTTTGAAGATGTTAAGATATAGACGTTAGAGTCATAGTTTTTTTTTTTTTCAAATTAAAAATTCACCTCAGGTTGTGTTGCCACAACAAACCAACCTCAATTGAAAATTTTCCACTTTTACATTGGATTTTCAATGGAAGATCACATGAAGATTTATCTTCATCGAAAACGAAAAACCTATTCAATAAAACATTTATCGGATGACATGAAAAATGGCCTAACGGCTTTTGTATCGTGTAATACCCCACAACATCTCATTTTGAATGATTTAACTGTTTTGTACTGTCGAATGGCTAACGCCGATATATCAACAGAACGTGTCATCTTTAATGAGAATAACGTACTTGATGTAAATCAAGTGTTTTCTTTAATGTTTTACAAAATCACGTACAGAAAAATTTCCCCTGAAAAGATTTTTATCGCGTCAAAAGGCCTAGTTTAAGACATGAAATATATCATTCTAAGAGATTACCATTTGAATGTTAATTTGATGTAAAATATAACTTATTGTTCTTAATATAGCGTAGAAATTTTCAATGTGAACCGATCTTGTGCACAGCGCTTTCAATTTGAAAGGTTGTTTTCCACTTGATCCTCGTTTTTATATGCCTCTTGAGCTGGTGCATCCTCAATAATTCTCAAAACATGACATCGCCACCATAGTCGTATCGTTACTTCCCACTATGTCGATGTCCGAGAATAGATGGTACAACTCACCGTCGACGCAGATCGGCTCGTAGATCTTTCGGAGAATTTTTCTTTCAAACACCCCAAGAGCTGCCTCATCTGCTTGCGCAAGTACCCATGCTTCAGATCCATATAACAGCACGGGTAGTATCAGCGTCTTGTAAAGTGTGAGCCTGGTCTGGTGGGAGGTGGCCTTGTTTCTAAACTGCTTACTTAGACCATAATAGCATCTGTTGGCCATCACAATCCTTCTCCGAATTTCAAGACTGATGTCATTCGTTATATTTATGGCGATACCAAGGTATATAAAGTCTTTAACAACCTCGAAGCTGTAGTTCTCAAGTTTCACAGTTGGTCCGAGTTTACTGGACGTCTTGCGCGTTGATATCATCAGCTTGGTCTTCTCGCCGTTTACTGCCAGACCCACTTTGGCAGACTCCTTTTCAATTTGTTCAAAGGTGGCTGTTACCGCTCGCAATGTTCGACCCATTATATCGATGTCATCGGCGTAGGGGAGTAACATGTGTTGTTTGGTGTACAGAGTGCCATTTCTGTTCACCTTTGCGTCTCGTATGACCTTTTCCAGCAGGATGTTAAACAGGTCACTCGACAAACTGTCACCTTGTTTGAATCTTCGTTCGGTACTAAAGGGTTCCGAGAGTTCATTTCCGACTATAACAGCTGACCTTGTGCCAGTTAAAGTTATCCTGCATATCCGTATGAATTTTGCAGGAATGCCGAAAGTAGACAAGGCTTTTTTAAACGCCTCTGAGCGGATTGGGCTGTCGAATGCGGCTTTATAGTCGACGAATCGGAGGACTATGTTGATGTGTTTTTCGTGGGTCTTTTCCAGGATTTGGGGCAGTGTAAAAATCAACTTATAGTGGATTTGCCAAGTCTGAAGCCGCATTGATAAGATCCAATAATATCATTGACTATTGGAATCAGTCGTTTACACAGCACGCTGGATAGCTCTTTATATGCGACAGGAAGGAGACTTATTCCTCTGTAGTTGGCACATATCGTCTTGTCTCTTTTTTGTGCACGGAACACAGGATGTTAAGGTTCCAATCATTAGACATGCATTCCTCTAGCTAAATGGTACTAATGAGCTGGTGCATTCTCTTGATCAGCGTCTGACTGCCGGGCTTGGATAGTTCGGCTGGCAATCCATCGGCACCTGCTTATATTATTCTTTAGCCGATTAATTGTTATTCTGACCTCATCTTGGCTAGGTGGTATACACTCCATACCGTCATCTATTATTGGTCCCGGGGTATCTTCTTCACCGTTACTATTTGATACCAGAAGGTGGTTAGGTGGTATACACTCAGTACCGTCATCTCTTATTGGTTCTGGGGTATCTTCTTCACCGCCACTATTTGCTCTTCAAAATGTTCCCTCCAGATCCCCAACTGGCTGTCTGTATCTGTCACAGGTTTCCATCTTCATCTCTAAAGGAGGATGTGCCTGCAACAAAGCCTTCGGGTTGGTGTTTTACTCGTTGGAAAAAATTCCGAACTTCGTTTTGACTCCTGTACAACTCGATTTTTCTGAAAATACGTTTCTCTTCTCTCCTTTTCTCCCGATAATTTTCTCTCGCATTGCGTTTTGCTACTGTCTGCAGGGTTGCACGATACGCTGCGTTTTTTCAAATCAGTAGCATTACTACACTCCTAATCGTAGCACGGGTTTCTTCATGGGGGTCTTTGATTCCCAGTGGTGCTTTTGCTGCAGTTTGTAGGGAATGGACAATTCTTTGCCATTGTGCTTCTACATTATTATCGGGAGAAGTAGAGTGATTTCGCCAAGCAACTGGGTAAGTTGACCGGAGTATGCCTCTGCTAGCTGTTGTGTTTGCTGCTATATTAAGAGTGCGAACCTAGGCTGCCACAAGGTAATCGACATTTGCTCCTCGGATCGATCGAACGTCTAAAACTCTGGATGAATTCCTTCCATATACCACAACATTTCTCGTTGCTTGATCAGAAGAAATCCAAGTGGCCTTGTGTATATCGAGATGTTTAAGTCTGGTGCTGCTAACTACCATGTTTTTTGCGGCCACGAAGTCAAACAACCGCATGCCGTTGTCGGATGTTTCTTCATAGAGGCTGAATTTTCCGACGGTGGGGTGACGCGGAGGGGAGGTCAGTGTAGAGCCTTTTTTAGGTATACAAACCGACTAAATAATTATACAAATCCGAGATGTCGCTGAAATGTGTCAATGAAATGCCTATTTATACCTTGACTATTATGATTTTATATTTGGTCATAAGTCGCCACTAATTTAGTGATTAAAAATGAAATATGAGCGTTTTCATTGAGTAGTGTCTAGGTTTTGTTGTTTAACACCTTATGTTAATATGCTAATATTTTTTAAATATACAACAACAAAATTAATATTCATAATTATCCTAATACCGACACATATAATTTCGAACTACGACATATACTACATTTATCCTGAGATTTATATTGTGAAAAAATATCTATATATTTTGATTTCCAGACTAAACATAAGCCCTATGGAAGGTAATCATGTCATTGTTTTTATTTTAGCTAAGTAGATGATTGATCTGCTATTATATTGTCCTGGATTATGGAGCAACGCCTCCTTGAATTTTGTGCTTTTGTCCTTGCTTATTTAGTGTTTTCATTTTTTGTGGGTGGCGCCCTCTTCTGCCAGCTAGATGATTGATTTGCTATATGGTGGTGCTGCCATCTATCGTTGATTAGAAGTAACGCCTTCTTGAATTTTGTTCAGTGGTAGGGTCCCTTGCTAAATTTGTGTTGTCATTTTATATACGCTCCAAGTAATAGTACATGCAGCTTGGGTACCGAAATGACCTTTCCGAAAAAATTATGCTTTAAATTCACACCTTATATATTTATCTTGTTCTATGCTACAAATCATCGCCATCTTACTCGATTAGTCCGTGTGTGTTAGATGTTTGGTCTGATGATGCGGCTGTCATCTATGGTTGCCTAGAAACAATGCCTCCTTGAATTATGTGCTGTTGTTAGGGCCCTTGATAATTTGGCGTTGCTATTTTCCTCAGGATGGCGATATCTCCTGCCAAATTTAATATAAGCTCCACATAATAGTATATACAACTAAAGGACCATACACGAAAAAAGCAATTAGGCTTAAAATCCACGACTTAGATAGCCTTTGAAAACATTTTTTTTAAAAATGCCCGTTGTATATTTTTTCTGTTACTCCCATAGGGCTGCCACAAAGCATTGGCATCTTACTCGATTAGTACTTGTGTTAGTTGATTAGACGATGTAGTGGTCTGATGTAGTCCTAGATATTGCGGCTGCCCTCTATCGTTGCCTAGAAACAATGCCTCCTTGAATTTTGTTAAGTGGTTGGGGTCCCTACTTGCTGTTCCCATAGTGTTATCGGCGTTATACTACCACTTCTTCGTTTTTAGTTATGCTTGGTACAAGGTAGTGCGACAGCGGACACAGCCACAAGTCAATTTCAGTCCAGCACTTGACAACCTCTACCGATGAAAACTGAAAGACTTATCTATACGACAACACAAAGTGAATGAGAATTACTGTCCCATATTTTTTCATAGCCTTTCTTTAAAGTCCATTTGTCTAGTTATTATTGTTGCAAAGTGCGTTTGTTACTTAAATGTTGGTATCCTAGTATTATATAAATGAGGTGTATATATTTTCTAACAATTACTAGCAGTACCATCCTGGTTCCGTAGAGACCCCATCACGATTATGGCTATTTTATGGTGCTAGGCCCATTTTTCAACCAAGGCGTAGATTGTCATTCGTGTTCTTGGTGTGTAAAAAACTTATTCCGGTCTTGTAAAATACCAGTTGTCAGAACTTGTTTCATATTGGAAAAAATCTTCGAAATTTTATATCGAGAATATGGTGGTCCCCAAAGTACCATCATTAGGTAGA